AAGAGATGGTAATGATAGTAAGCAGATAATGCCTTCCCTAACTAATGAGATGGAAAATACTGCAAATGATGCAGAATCTAGAGATAATATAACTAAAACAGCCCAGTTAAATGATAGTACAATAACTGTCTCATATGAGGAATTTTTAAAAAGTCACACCGAAAGTAAAGTGGAACAGGCACCAGACTCTACAGTGTCTATTTGTATTCCTTCTGAAACTGTTGATGATGCAGTCAAAAGTGGTTGTATGACTGACCCAGAAACCTATGAAATTTCCCAACAGGTCCGCTTTAAGACAGTCACTGTTCTTGCACAGGTTCACCCCATCCCTCCGAAAAAGACAGGGAAAATACCCTCAATTTTCTTGAAACAAAAGCAGGTGGAAATGGAAAATAGTCTGTCTGATCCTGAGAATGAACAGACGAGTCAGAAAAGAAAATCTAATGTCGTTATACATGAGGAAGAACTAGAATTGGCAGTGTTGGAAGCTGGAAGTTCTGAAGCTGTGAAACCAAAATGCACTCTAGAAGAAAGACAGCAGTTTATGAAAGCATTTAGGCAGCCAACATCAGATGCACTTAAAAATGGAGTCAAAAAGTCTTCTGATAAGCAGAAAGAGCTCAATGAAAAATCTTTAAATGAGGAAGGAAGAGACAATAATTCTAAAAAAATCATGGAAAATCCTAATATTCAAATGGTTTCAAATAATGGCAATTCACAGACACATGCTGATAAAGGAGGTTTTCCTAAGGAGAAAAGTAAAAAGCTGAAGAAAAAGAATAAAAAAATCTTAGATACTGGTGCTATTCCAGGTGAAAATAGAGAGAGAAATCCTCAAGAGAAAGAATCATCTTTTTCCTTTAAAGAGAAACAAAATCAAAACAGGCTTAGAATGAGTTTAAGACAAAAGAAAACAGAAGTTTTCAAAAACAGCACATTACTTAACAGCAAAAACCTTGTTTGTGAAGGTGCAGCAGATGATGACCCTCTAAAAATTTCCTCTCCGTGTAACAATAAGTCTTCAAGAAAAACCGGCATACCAGTTAAGGATAAAGTTATACACTGTAAAGCTGAGACTGAAGACACCTTGGTATATGTTTCTACACTGAAACCAAGCAGAAGATCTGTAATAAGTAGCAGCACACCTGCTACAGTAATCATTAGAGCTACTGATTCTGAAGACGCACAAGACGATAGTCCAGTAAAAGCTTCCACTCCAAAAGCAGCGAACTTATCAGGGAAGCGTAGCTTATATACAGCGGAATTAATAACAGTATCCTCTGATTCAGAGAGTCCTATTAGGTAAAGTTTTGTTTTGTTCTCAAGTTCTAAATATTCTGCATGTATTATTAGATGTGAAGGAAAATATGTCAAGCACTGAAGAATTGTGGTTTTTTTTTTTCTAGAACACAGCTGATTTATAAGAAAAAGAAAACAGGGTTTCAAAAATGTTGCTCATTTTCCATATTTAATTTAAAGTCAGGCATGATTTCAGAAGAATTCTAGACGTATTTTAGATGAGTTTTAAACTCTTATTTATCGTAGTTGTTAATTCCTGGAGAAATATCCTCCAAATATGAATTCTGTGCATTTAACAAACATAAGATTAAAAATAAATCATAGAACTTTTTTAGGTAAGCTGAGCCATATACTGTGAGGTATTGTGTTGGCCAGAAAGTTTGCTCAGGTTTTTCCATAAGATGCCTCGGGAAACCCGAATGAACTTTTTGGCCAACTCAACATATACTTGCATGTTGGTTCTGGCTAATCTTAGGGGCTAATTTTCTGGAAAGCTTATGATTTATAAAATGAAACTATATTTTCTAAGAGTTTAACATTGAGTTTGGCTTACTTTTGAATCAGTAGTTTGAAACTGATGGGGGGGGTGTCTTTTTTCGTTTTCTGTTTCAGAACTGTCCAGAAATTAGAGCCCTAGTTGGTTCCTTTCTATATTTAATTGAAATTCTTACACATTATAATCATATAAATGTTTGTGAATATCTTTTTGGGTTTTTTTCAGAATGAAATTCACCAGAATTAGTACTCCCAAAAAATCTAAGAAAAAATCTAAGAAAAGGTCTAAGAAATCTGAAGCAGCTGATGAAGATTTTGAGTCTCAGACTAGAAAGGTAATTGAAATATTAGGGTGTCCTGTAAGTGGTATTCTGTTTTGTAAAACAATAACTATTACTATTGGAAGTGATACGCCAAAAGAAGATTCACATATTTCATAGATTGGTTATGTTAACTATAACCCTATATTATTTTTTGCTGTTATTTTATTCCTCTAGTTAGCTTATTAAGAGATCAACATATCTTATTGTGAGATGAAAGCAATTGATAAAGACAGTATCGTTTACTTAGAAAAAGTTTTCTTAGTGACAGTTATATTCCAATCTTTTTCCCTAAGGCTGCTTATGGAAATAAGCATGATTGAATTTTTGGTTTATTTCTATAGATTAGAGGCTAACAAGTGGGGTCTCTCAACCCTGGTACTGTTGACATTGTGCGCTGGATAATTCTTTGTTTTGGGGAACTGTCTTGTACATTATAGGATGTTTAGCAATAATCCTGGCCTCTACCCCTGACATGCCAATAGCACCCCAACTGCCCTAGCTATGACAACCAAAATATCTCCAGTCATTGCTAAATATCCCCTGGAGGGAAAAATCACCCCCAGTTGAAAACCACTATCCTAAAGGGAGAGGTTGTATGTATAAGAATAGTTTAGCTGCTTTTGTAGAGTAAACTGCTTATCCCTTATGATGAGAGAATTGGATTCACTCCTGGGTGAGTAGGTACAAGTGTGTGTGTGTGTGTGTGTGTGTGTGTGTGTGTGTGTGTGTGTTGAAAAAGCCACCAGGGTGGTTCTGATATAATCCTTGGGTGAAAGCCACTGCCACAGAAAGTTGGTATCTCTTTTGTTTTTATTTAACAACTCTTTTTTTTTTCCGTGTGGGGCGGCGGGGGGCTTCTTATCTCACTCTAGGTACTATGCTTGGTACTGTTATCATTAATCTTATAAAGTAAATATTTAAACCTGTTTTGAAGGACAGTGGCGCCAAAGGAGGTGAAAATATTTTTGAGAGTTGACATGATATATGATGGAATTTAAGCTGGGGACAGGGAAAAGGGGTACCAGGGGCTGATAAATAAGGAGAAAGTAGAGAGCTGTCAGGACGGAAGTTCCTGTTTTAGTCAGGAGTAACCAAGTGTGAGCTGGGAGGGCAGGCAGCTAGGTCAGAAAGGAGGGTGTTGGAAATGACTGGTTTTTGAGATGATAGGACTATGGTTGATTTTGATTTTCTTCATTTTTCTGTTTTTTGTTTTTCTATAAACATGAACTTTTAAAAACTTTTATCAGAAAAATAACTGTTAGAAAAAAAAACAGATTTCAGGTAATAGCAGAACTACATGCCAAAATGCATGTGGAGTTTCTTTTTTTCACACATTCACTAAAACATGTCTTTTTTTTTTTTTCCCCGGTACACAGCCCTCTCACTGTTGTGGGCTCTCCCGTTGCGGAGTGCAGGCTCAGCGGCCACAGCTCACAGGCCCAGCCGCTCTGCGGCATGTGGGATCTTCCCGAACCGGGGCACGAACCCGTGTCCCCTGCATCGGCAGGAGGACTCTCAACCACTGAGCCACCAGGGAAGCCCTCTCTTTCTTAACTGTTTCAATGATTGAGTCGTTAATTTAAATTTAGCTGGATTATTTTGAATACTAACTTATCCTAAGGTTCATCAGCCTGTCAAAAATGTTGCTAGGGACTTCCCTGGTGGTGCAGTGGTTAAAAATCCACCTGCCAATGCAGGGGACACGGGTTTGAGCCCTGGTCCGGGAAGATCCCTCATGCCGTGGAGCAACTAAGCCCGCGAGCCACAACTACTGAGCCCACACACCTAGAGCCTGTGCTGTGCAACAAGAGAAGCCACCACAATGAGAAGCCCGTGCACCGCAACGAAGATCCAACCCAGCCAAAAATCAATCAATCAAATAAACTTATGAAAAAGAAAAAAATTTTGCTAGCAGAACAACAAAAATCTGTCGCTCTGCTACTATAAAGCAGATCCTTAACATTCCTAACCTCCTTATGTATGTTCTGAATATCCATATCCTTTTTTTTATACTTTAGTTTTAATTAAAAAAATATTTTTTTCCATGCCTCTTCTTTTTAATGTTTTTAAAAAACATTTAAAAAGTTTTTGGAATTCCCTGGGTGTCCAGTGGTTAGGACTCCATGCTTCCACTGCAGGGGGCACAGGTTCGATCCCTGGTGTGGGAACTAAGATCCTGCATGTCACAAGGCACAGTCAAAAAAAAATTTTTTTTAACTTTTTAAAAACAGCAAACATTTGATTAAAAGACACAGTAGTATATAAATTTAAAAGTGAAAACTTTTAAAATTTTCTCTCTCCTACTGTTTGGGGGGAACCCACTTTTTTTTTCTTAATTGCTCTCTCTCTTACTTTTTAGAAAGATTCTACTGAACTTTTAAATGCTGCTTATATTATTTATTTCTTTGGATTTAATTAATTAATTAATTTGACTGCCTTGGGTCTTTGCTGCTGTGCGTGGGCTTTCTCTAGTTGTGGCGAGCGGGGTCTACTCTTCATTGCAGTGTGCGGGCTTCTCATTGCAATGGCTTCTCTTGTTGTGGAGCACGGGCTCTAGGTGTTCCGGCTTCAGTAATTGTGGCACGCAGGCTCTAGAGCACAGGCTCAGTAGTTGTGGCGCATGGGCTTAGGGGCTCCATGGCATGTGGGATCTTCCCGGACCAGGACTGAACCCGTGTACCCTGCATTAGCAGGCGGATTCTTAAGCACTGTGCCACCAGGGAGGTCCCCAGGAGGAACCCACTTTTAATAGTTACAAGTTCATCTGTCCAGACTTTTTCCTATCCTTAAATATTTATATGTCATTTTTAAAAGGGATCATATAATGTGAGCTGTTTTGCAGCTTGCTTGCTATGTGTTTTGTTTGGGGTTTTTTTTTGCATCTTGGTGATCACATTTATTGGAAGGGTTGGAGAAAAATAAAAATGCCATTTAGCTTAAGAATTTGTGAGTTAGCTACAAATCAACTTATTTCAGAAGTGGAGGAATTCTTGGTTATTTCTTAAAATGAAAACGTACGCCTGTTTCTCTTTTGAATATTATCTACATTTAAAGAGGCAATCATACAAAATCTCCTATTTTCCACACAGGATAAATTCTTTGTTTCAACCAACTCTCAATGGTGGGGCAACTAGCACAACACCGTCTCCCCGGACAAAGAGCATCGGGATATTCCGTTTGGTTGATTTATATATCTCTTCATATGTTTCTTCATCAATTTCTATAGTTGTCACAGTTTCTTCCACATCTCCCAATATCATATTTAAATGATCATAAGCATGTAACCTGCCTCGAAGCTCTCTGTCGTTTCTCATTTTCACATAGATTCGTTCATCCAGACTGAGCCTGGTGAGATCCAGAGGCTCTTCTACAGTGTTGGTAGTTTGATGCTGGTCCACGTCGTCTGCCATCTTCCAAACCCTGCGCTCTTTGCTTGCTATGTGTTTTTAATCCAAATGTAAAAACCTGTAGAACTCAGAATATGGAAAATACATTATCTGGAAGATAATATTTAAATGCACAAGATCGCTTAGTACATCAGTGGCAGAGCCAGGCCTGAAGGCCAGACTTTATTCTTATCAGTGCTCTTTTCCATACCTACTACCTTTTCAACCTCTCTCTAAAGGATTCAGCCTAAAAGTGACTAAAATCAAAGAATAGATGCCATGAAGATAATGGGGAAATAACCAATAATTCTTATCTGTACAGACATCTATTTGTTTGTTTGTTTTGGTTGCACCACGTAGCATGTGGAATTTCCCTGACTAGGGATTGAACCCATGCCCTCTGCACTGGAAGCGCAGAGTCTTAACCACTGGGCCACCGGGGAAGTCCCCAGACATATTTTTTTTTTTTTTCTTTTTGCGGTACGCGGGCGTCTCACCGCTGTGGCCTCTCGCGTCGCGGAGCACAGGCTCCGGACGCGCAGGCTCAGCGGCCACGGCTCACGGGCCCAGCTGCTCCGCGGCACGCGGGATCCTCCCGGACCAGGACACAAACCCTTGCCCCCTGCATCAGCAGGCAGACTCCCAACCACTGCGCCACCAGGGAAGCCCGCCAGACATCTAGTTTAAAAAATTTTTTTATATACAGACATTTAATATGGATATCTTTTTGGGTATTTTTCACAAATGTAATTATATTTATCTGAATAGATTTCAAGCAAGAAATAAAGGCAAACCAAGTATAATTAGACACATTTTAATTTCATTTCCTTGGTAAGATTTGAATAACCATTTTTTTGGTCTTTTATTTAGTATGATCTGTGATTATATTTTTCTATTATATATGTACTTAGTGGACTTCATTTTTTAGAGCAGTTTTAGGTTCACAGCAAAATTGAGCAAAAGGTATAGATTTCCCATATACCCAGTGCTGTCACACATGCATAGCTTCCCCATAATATCAAAATAGTACATTTGTTATAATTGATGAACTTACATTGACACATCATTATCACCCAGTGTCTAGTTTAAATTAAGGTTCACTGTTGGTATTGTACATTCTGTGGGTTTAGACAAATGTGAAATGACATGTATCCACCATTATAGTACCATACAGAGTAGTTTCACTGCCTTAAAAATCCTCTGTACTCTGCCTGTTCGTCCCTTCCTTTTTCCCTGGCAACTACTGATCTTTTTACTGTCTTTAAAGGTTTGCCTTTTCTATTTTTTTCTATTATTAAATATAAAATATTTGCCAGTAACCTAAATTATTATTTCACATTTGTGTTTAGGTAAGCAGTGCTTCAAAAAATGTATCCAAAGCAAAACAATTGATTGAAAAAGCAAAAGCTTTACACATTAGTAGGTCAAAAGCTACTGAAGAAATAGTGACACCTTTAAGGCGTTCGTCCAGACATCAGACGCTCCCTGAAAGGTCAGAAACAGAAGTAAGTATTACAAATATTCATTGATACAAATTCTGTTCTGTTCTTCTGTTTGAAATGGGAGAAGGTAACTGTTATAAAATTATAAGGTAGAATTGTAGGAAGCCGTGAGGTGGTAGAAAAATATCATTTTCCATTCTCTTTTCGAAGGCTTTGGCTCTCTTTTTTTTTAATTTAATTTAATTTTTTTGGTACGTGGGCCTCTCACTGTTGTGGCCTTTCCCATTGCGGAGCACAGGCTCCGGACGCGCAGCCTCAGCTGCCATGGCTTACGGGCCCAGCCGCTCCGCGGCATGTGGGATCCTCCTGGACCGGGGCACGAACCTATGTCCCCTGCATCGGCAGGCGGACTCTCAACCACTGCGCCACCAGGGAAGCCCTTTGGCTCTCTTTTGCCTACAGAATACACTCAGAATCCTTATCAAGTCATTCAAGATCCTTCTTAGGCTGAACTAGCTCCTCCTTTTCCTCAAAACAACCCCCCCTTCCTCAAACACACTCTTTTTGCTCTGTCATACCAAATTATTCATTTTTCCCCAAAGGCTGCAATTTTTACTTTTTTCAGTTTGTAGTTTCAGCGTAAAATGTATATTAGGTACTCTCTTCCACCTGAGGAATTCCTACTCAGAGTTTAAGATCCTGCTAAATTATGCCACCATCTCTCTCTCTTTTTTTAAAAAATATAATAACATGATTTATTTAAAGTGTGCAATTCAGTCACTTTTAAAGAGTGTGCATTCATTCACAGAGTTGTGCATTCATCACCACAGTCAGTTTTAGAATATTTCATTACCCCCAAAAGAACCCTCATTCTCCTTAGCTGTCACCTTCCTATCTCCCCTCCCCCAGCCCTAGCCAAACACTAATCTACTTTCTGTCTCTATAGATTTGCCTATTCTGGACATTTAATATAAATGGTATCCTACCATATGTGTCCTTTGTATCTGGCTTCTGTCATTTAGCATAATGTTTTAAAGGTTCTTCCATGTCGTAGAATCAGTATTTTGTTTCTTTTTATTACCAAGCAACACCCCATTATATGGAAATACCACATTTGATTTACCCATTCATCAGTTGATGGACATTTGGGTTGTTTCACTTTTCGGCTATGAAAAATGCTGTGAATAATCGACTACCTACTCTTGAAAGCTTTGCTGATGCCTTCAAGACAAATAGTTTCCTTCCCTATATGTACTGTAATTTACTTTCATGGGGTTTTTTTTTGTATTTAGTCAGTATTACTTTCACTATACTGTATTATAGCTAGTTAAACTATGTTTTAAAATAAATTTATTTATTTATTCATTTATTTTTGGTTGTTTGGGGTCTTCGATGCTGCGCACGGGCTTTCTTTAGTTGTGAGCGGGGGCTACTCTTCGTTGCGGTGCGCGGGCTTCTCATTGCGGTGACTTCTCTTGTTGCGGAGCAGAGGCTCTAGGCATGCGGGCTTCAGTCGTTATGGCATGTGGCCTCAGCAGTTGCGGCTTGCAGGCTCTAGAGCACAGGCTCAGTAGTTGTGGTGCACGGGCTTAGCTGCTCTGCGGGCATGTGGGATCTTACTGGACCCGGGCTTGAACCTGTGTCCCCTTCATTGGCAGGCAGATTCTTAACCACTGCACCACCAGGGAAGCTCACTAGTTAAACGATTTACTCATAGATTAGCTCTCCCTCTGTCCTCTAAACCCTGGTGTAAACTTGACACCAACTCTAGAGTTTCATTTTTGTGTGCGTTCCCAGTGCCTGCTGTATTGCCTAACACATAGTAGATGCTCAATAGATGTATGCTGACCACATGAGAACTTACCAGACTTCATCTAATACATATCTAGGATGTATAGTTCTGAAAGGGAATAGCCATAATTATTATAGCTTGGTTGTATTGATTCTTTTATCTGCAATATAGTCTGTTCGTTGCTTCTTTAAAAAAGAAAACCCATGGTCATAATAAATCCACTCTTTGATCACGTGAACTTGTATGATATAAGCACAGACTATTGCCATTCATATCCTGTGTTTTCCGTGTTAGTTTCTGACAGGGAGATGTATGGAGTTCCTAATGTGATTATCTTGTCATGGCTTCTAGCACTGTAATCCTTTTGAAATTTTAATAACATTAATTGTATGTTATTAAAAATTTTTTTTCTTATTCTGTCTTAGGACTCTGTAATAACAGGTTCAAGTCCTACTCCTTTAAAGCATCCTGAGAAAAATCAGAAGAAACTTCAGTGTCTGAATGATGTGTTAGGAAAAAAACTTAACAAGACTCCTAAAAATGTCCCTGGTAATCAGATTTGATAACTTGATGATGAACATTAGAATGTTTTGGGGGGATTATATTGTTCTGAACTTTAACTTTATCTCATTTTGATTTAATCTCTTGTCTTATAAAATATAACCTTTTAATTATATTAAATATTTCTATTTTAATGAGTAAAGTTATAATGTAGTGAAGAGTTTTACAAAAGGTAACTGAGTGTATTTTAACTGATTACATTTCTTTGTATCTATTTAGCCTCAGTTAACTTAGTGGTTCCCAAAGCTGACTGATTATCAAAATCATCTGGTAAATTTAAAAAATTTTTAAATCCTTAGGTCCTTCCCTAGACATACTGACTGAGAATCTCCAGAGGTGGGTTGTGGGAATCTGTAGTTTAAAAAGAAGCTCCCCAAGAGATTCTGATATTGAGTTTGCCAAGTTGAGAGATCAGCTCATTATAGAAAATTTTTTAATTAAAAAGTTCTTTTTTAAGTTTTAAAAGTACCTAGAGGTAAGTGGAGATGATGAACCTTGATACTAACCTAAGCATTTATTTTTCTAAGGAAAAGTGAAAGTCGCGCCTTTATTTCTTACTAGAAAGACTCAGAAAACAGCTGATCCTGTCCTTGGTTTTGATGAAAGCAGGTCAGTCTGATACAAATTTTAAAATGTCAAAATATTTCATGGAATGTATTTTGCATTCATTTACTTTGATGAGAAAGCATTTAAGTTCTCATTTGAAGCTTTGATAAATCCATTTTAACAGATGACAACATTGACAATGCTACAACTGCAATTTGAAGATCTTGGTCTTTTGCAAATATTTTGTGTCCATCTCTAGACAAAACAGTGGGAAAATAAACGAGCAAACCAAAAAGCTGATTTATGAACTTGTTCAGTAAATATTTAAATACCTACTACGTAGCAGGTGCTGTTTTTGGTACTAGGAATATCATGGGGAATAAGACACATTCCCTGTCCTCAGGAGGCTTATACCCTAGAGGAAAGACAATCTCTGATTAAACATTAATTGGGGGCTTCCCTGGTGGCACAGGGATTGAGAGTCCCTCTGCCGATGCAGGGGACACGGGTTCGTGCCCCGGACCGGGAAGATCCCACATGCGGCGGAGCGGCTGGGCCCGTGAGCCATGGCCGCTGAGCCTACACGTCTGGAGCCTGTGCTCCACAATGGGAGCGGCCCCAACAGTGAGAGGCCCACGTACCGCAAAAAAAAAAAAAAAAAAGTTTGTTCAGTCGATTTGGTCTTGTCAAGCAAGGATTT